TGTTCTGACCTGGAGTGTATGTTGGTATGGGAGAAGAGCTATTGAACCAGGAATTCAAAACAAATCTATTCAAAGTCTTTGGCTCAGCCCTTCAAGGATTAGAGGAGTGCATGCTCTTCATAGCACAAGCTATGGCCTTAAATATTTGGTTCATTAAGATGTCAGCCTGCAGTCAGGGTGTGTACACCTGCTCTTTGTAAAGCAAGGCCTCTGTGGATTTCTGATCATCTGGGCTTTTATTCCACATAGTTCATGTAGTACGCCTTCATGGAAAAATAATGGGAAAAAAGCCCCCACAAGCTGCTAAGGAATTCACGTGGAAATTATTAGAAACCAAACATTCTTTCACTGGTGTTTTGCTTTAAAGTACAACTGAAAAAGGCAAAGCAGAGTTAAAACACACTCTGCTATGGCTGGAGATCAATGTTGCTAAAGATTGTTAGCCAGTCATTAAACAGTTTTTAAAAAAATTGAGTGATTTAGTACGTATTACCAGTTGTTTTGGACTGCTCTGAAACTAGGCAGTTGTTGATGGCTATTGTTGACCTTTTTCATATACGCATAGCTTCCTGTGATTACTTTCTCCAATGAGTTTTTCTCTTTTAGACCACAAGCAAGTCTGAAGTGGTAGGAATTGTCTTAGATCACTTAGATCAGCTCTGTTTCTGTGTATTGAATGTAATTTTCTGGTGGAGGTACCCTGTCATGAATGTAGGTGTTCTGCCAGCCTGAATCTGACCAAATGAAGAATATTACTGGACATCTCAATCATGAAGTGCTGCTGTTATTAATTTTTATTTTTTTTTGTCACGTTGTCATTGTTCTGTCATTCTTAGCCTTGTATGCTTTGATCCTTTTTGTTTGGGTTAGGCTTTTTTGTTGTTGGTTTGCTTTGTTTTGCTACGGAGCTCTGTAAAGCTACCATCTCATGAGCATTTTGTTACTCACACTGCATTCTTGTACTGTACCAGAGTTGGTGACCACATTCCATCGATGGAAGAGATGAGTGAAAGCCGCTGGCTGTACTTCAGGTGACACTGTGCTTTCCTTGATACCAAATTAACCTCATGCTTGGCTTTCTTCATCTTTATAACACTAAGTGTGTGTTCTTTTTTCATACTATGGCATGCTGCTGCTGCTTCTCCTTTTCTGCAGAGTGCCAGAGATGTTCCTCAATTCTGAGTCTGTTTTCTTCTTCTGAGCTGGGAGAGCGTGGATCACACATCATGTCTTTAGCTTTAAAAAAAGCCCCACAAAACATGACATCTTTTAGCTCTGTGTATGGGTAATTGATGAATCAAAACTAGCATCTCTGGCCTGGGAAGAATTACAAGCTGAAGAATCCTGGATGTGATCCTATGAACCTTTATAGCACAGGTATTCTTGAGCATTCTTTGGAGTTATTTCTTACAACTGCTCAGGTTAGAAGGGACTTCATAGACGATTTAGCTCAGCCTCTTTGGGGATGTATGTTAAAAACTGAGGGTTATCACATTGTTTCACAGCTAGTTGCTAGTATGAGTGGAGACAAACCAAAATCCTAGTCTTTCGCGGTTGATGGCTTTTATAAGTGATATGTGGATAGAAAGAGAATCAACAAGAAGATAAATAACTGGAATCTATAGAGGCACGTGTATTTGTGTGTGTGTGGTTTTCTTTTATATATATATATATATCTACATCTACAGAATATTTATGCAAAGAAAACTTTCGGGATGAGGCAATGGTAAGTTTCCTGTCATGGTTGAAGGTTCCCAGCCAGAGATTTAGTATGCTTGTTTGTACAGAGAATCTGAGAACTATTATCTATTACAGTCATTCTTGGCTGCTGCCACAGTAATTACATATGCTAGAATGTAATAAAGCCTGGTATTTTGGTAACTTGTCATCTATGTGTTGCAGGGCTTTGGAAAGGCTTTTGAAGTGTCAGAAGAAATAGTTCCACATTTAAAAATGACATAGTGGAGAACTTGAAGTAGTTCTATCTCCTTTTTTTTTTACCACACTTTTAGTTTCCATTTTGCATTCCACATTTTCTATGTCAACCATTTTCTACCACGCTGTTTAATTTACTGAATTATACATAGGTTTAGCATTTGAGGGATCAAATCTGAGTAACTGCTCTCCTCTGTGTGATGCTGGAGTTTTAGCTTAAGTTGTAGAATAAGGACCAGAAGAAGGTTAGGAAGTCAGCTAAGAGCAGAAATGCATTGCTTTGGTATTGGACTCAATGGCAGTCCTTTTTTGCTTTATGGAGCTCTCGGTGTGAAAAGACTTTTATGACTTAAAAAACCCCAAACAAACTAACTAGGGAGGAGTGAGGAAGTATACTTAAATTGGAGCAATTTTTACCGTAACATACTCATTTCTACAAATTCCAGAACACTTCCCAAGGCAGAAATAAAGATGCCTGAACTTTATATACTACAAACTGTCTGCACTGAAGTATTAAGTTATCTGTCAAATACTGAATTGATGTCAGTGGGGGAAATAGGTGGGGCTTTCACCAGTTTTGGAATCTATATGCATCGTTACAGCTGGAAGACTGCTCATATTCTTCATCTGACATCTGCTTTTTAAGAGTTACTTATTTGAATTGTTACTGTACAGCCTAAAGGAGTGCACACACAACTACTGCAATGGGCTTTCAGAATGGTGGAGAGGAAATGAAGATGCCGTATGTAGTAAGAATTTTTTCCTAAAAGTTGAACCATTTTCATATAGAAAAGCTCTCTTCTCCTCTTCAGCATGACAATGAACCCAAACAGCTGGCCAGAGATATACTGTGACTATTCACGGAACAGAATGGTCATCCTGTTTTGGTCTTCCCTTTAAGCTCCCTTCCTCTGCCTAAGGGCAGTTAAAATCCCCAAAACAAATGCACAACCTTGTAAGTCAAGTAAAAGCTGAGGCATTCTGAATGGTTTGGTTTTCTTGTGTACTGTCAAGTGAAAGGGTAGGCCAGTGAGTTCAAACTATTTAGGGAATGCAAGCTATGTTCATCTTCTGGAACCAGCCTCTTGAACTCCCTGTTCATATTGCCAGCTGTGCAGCTAACATGAATGTGATTGCTCGCATAGTGCATTGAACCTCCCCAGTGTGTAACTGGAGCTTGGAAAGCCACAAATGTTTTTCTTCTATTTTTATGTATGTTTATAAAGGAATGCACAATCGTGTATATATTGCCATACTAAGTGGGTTTCCTGATGTTATTTATCAGCTTTTGGCATGAGGCTTCACTAGGTAACTAGTTTATCTGCAGAAGACCTTTCTTATCATGTCTTCATGGCTTAGTGGTAGCCTAACCTGTAACATCTAAGCCCTTGTAACCTTTCAGAGCTCTTGCGTGTGGAGTTTTATTTTAGCATGTGTAACAACCGAGTACCCAATCTCTCTCTTCAGTGTTCCCTTAAAATGGTAAAGCTTTTTAGTTGTGAGGCTGGTTGGTGCCAATGAATTCCCAGGCCAAATGTGCTGAAAGGTTTAGATAACTCTGTATATGAAAAAAGGAAGCGATGACGGAAGAAAAGAGACTGAGGGAAAAATCCAAGGAAGAGAACTGCTCTATATGAGGCTGCTGCAGTTTGTCTTGGAGCTGCTTTCTGGATGTTCCCTGAACTACATTAAGTCATGTACAGCCTTGGATTGGCCGTTGAGTACACAGGGATGACTTAAAACCTTAGTTAAATGCCTATTTTCCTTCTGTTGCTCTACTAGAAAGTGCTGCCCTAGAAGTTATTTGAAGGTGTTCCTTTTTAGTTTAATCCATTCCACTTTCTGTGCCTGAAGGTAAATAGTGTCTGAATTACTGCTTGCCTTATGCAAGTGCATGTCCCTGGGGGACACAAATTAGCTAGCCTTACTAGCAAGGTTCTTCTGGTTTCTGGTGTTCCTCAGGGGTGTTGCATAAACACTGTGGCTAGAAATTGCTGACACAAAGTCTAAGTAACAGCTAGATTGTAACTAAACCAGCTCAGTCCCTTCCAAGAGAGGGGAAATGAAGAAGTTGGCCATTTCAGACAATATGTTTTTCTAATTGCCTACACTTTCCTACACTTATTACGCAACACAGTAGGACTAAACCACAATACATTTGAGAATGACGGTCTTACTCAACACTTGAGGTTGAAGGTCTAGATTTTACAAGAGAGCACAGAAATTAAGGCATAAGCAGGATTTAAAACTAGACAAGAATAATATCAAAAAATAGCTATCCCCAAACTGAAGAACCTGAACACAATTACAAGGATTAAATACCCATCTTGGATAGAAGTGTTATGTGAAAGGATATAAGATGCTCACTAACTATATACCAAAGCAAGTAGATAGCTTCTTATTAACATATTCTGTTATCATGCACCATTTCACTAAACAAACCCTCCCTCACTCAGGTAGGAGGCTGGACTAGGAAAAACTTCTGTTAATCCGCTGTGGCTGTGTTGTGTTAGGTGAATGCAACTTGCAGCAAATTAGGATTATGAAGTGTTTTTGTTGTTTCATACGGTGCATTAAAACTTAGTGTGTGTGTGTCTTCTTTTAATTGTGTATTTGAGCTATTCTCAGGCCTATCTGGCAGCTGAGTAATTTGCTGCGTCAAGCATTTAGGCTGGGCTCATTCATAGTCTCTGGTTTCTTACTGCTGGACATGAGGAGTTTTTTCCACTGAAGAGGATGTGATCCAAAGTTCATCTTTTAAGTCAGAAATAGCATTTGCCACCAACCTAAAAGAATTGGCAACAAAGGTAAGCTGTTCAAGTTGATGCTGAGATGGAGTTAAAGCTGTTATCTACAGGTAGCTGCTGCTTGAGTGAAATAACCTTGTGTACAGCTATGTAACTGCAGGGGAATAATGGACAGCTCTTCCTCAAACTGTTCTTACAACCTCTCTGAATGCAGCTTTGCTTCGTGCCTAAAGTGCTTTTAAAATGCATTCTGCCAAACTTACAGCATTTGCAACCTTCAGTAACACCACTTGCTTTGTTTTCCTAATGTTTCTTTAGGGTTGGGGTTGACCCAGATCAGGATCCTCCACCTACTAACGACAGCTTTCAAGTCTTACAAGGAGTAAGTAATTACATAACTTCTCTATTAGGCTGATTGTATTGTGTATCTAAGATGACAAAGAACTGCAGAAGCTATGTGCATGGATAGAATCTTTCTCTCCTAGCTGGCAAGTCAGTAATGCATTTTACTTTATACTATTCGAGTAACGGCCATCAAAAAACATTCTGTAGCTTTGGGTGTAATGCTACGGTGTTCAGAATGTTGTGTATACATCTAAATATAAGGCATCCAAAACTTTTCAAAATCTACTAATACAGTCTATTTAACATTGTGCTTTCCTCTTCCCCAGCCATCCAAGACACTTGCTTTTAACATGCTACAGCAAAAACATTTCTTCCCAAGACTGACTCAGACGTAATCCTCTTGGCTTCTGTTCAATAACTCATACCAAACTTTGGCCCTTGGACTTGCTTAGAATCAAAGATTAAATTCACTAATCCAATCTCAGCTCCTGCATACTGTACCACAAGCCAGCTGGATCTTGCCTGTACTATCTACTGCCTGTGTGAGGCAAAAGAAGCACTGGAAAATTGTCATTTATATTCAGCAAACTGTTGCTGTGAATCTTTAGTGCAGCTTTCTATGCATAAGTAGCAACCTAAGAGTTGACTCTTTTTTCCCTGCAATATGCTATTGGCAAACAAGACTATCAAAAGGATGTTGTTCATAGCAGAAACTTTAGTTTTCCTTATCTATAAACTGAGTGAATTCACAGGAAGAGGGAAAGGTTTGGGGGAAAAAACCGACCCCAAACAACACAACAACAATCCAACATTTCCTGAGGCTTCCTCTGTCCAGATGTTAGTTTACATGCTCCCAGAGCACTGAGCGACACTAATTGTTCAGTAGCACAACTGGTTGCTTACACAGGAACCTGCTAGAGGAAGTTGAATGACAGCAAAGACAGACTACTTTGGATGCACAGCGTGCTTAGGGTGCAAGTGTGTGAACTGCACTATGTAAACCTCAGGCTGTATGATGCTTGTGTTCAGGCTGGTCACAGACACATGGATGGAATATTTGCTGTGTTTGGGATCATCTTTCTTATTAGTTGTTTCTCCTGCTTAGACTTTTTTTTTTGTTTGGTCACAGGTTGTACAGATAAGAATTACTTGCTCAGGAAACATCTCTTTCATTGCAGAAACTGCATTAGGTATCTCTGTTCTTGTAGAAGCCTCTGTCCTGCACACAAAATACATTCTGAAATAGTGGGTTTGGGTACTGAGAGGGGTGAACTTGGTTTTATATCTACCTGGAAGCAGCCAGAAGGCCAGGCTTCAAAACACATTTTACGGTGAAGGCCACTGTTATTGCATAAATTCAAGGTTAGGAAGTGGTATTGTGATAAGATGGCTTTGGCCAGTGCAGACTGAGCTTGTCAGTATTTGAGGAATTGCTTTACAGGAAACAGAACATGGGTATTCTGTTCTTATTCAGTGTCTGGGTGGAAGCACCTTGTTGCTTTTTTCCCATGTAAACATAAAGCACGTACCCATTTATTTCCTTCTTTAGCTGTGCATTGCATTCCTAATGGAGTCCATTAGTCAGTTCTCTTTGGATTCCTCTTTCTTACACCAAGCCAAGACTAGCAGCATGTCACAGTTAAAAAAACCATATCATTTGGGATGGGGAGGGAGTGAAAATGTACTAAGTTTTAACTCTTGGTGGAGTGTGGATTTTTTTGCAGATCAGAAGTACCCAGGGCAATCCTGTCTTGTTTTCAGTAGTTTGGCAGATGATTCATGCAAGGCATTCCCACTTCATCTGCTTTCCTGTTTTTAACCTTAACAAAAACAAACAAAGAAGAAAAACTCAAACCACCAAATACACACAGAAAAAAACCAAAATACAAAAAACCCCAACATCCAAAAAGCAAAACAATAACAAAAGTAAAAACAAATGCAGCTGGTGGAATAACTTGCAGCACAGCAAGTAAAGGGATTATATTTAACACTGCTGGCACTTCTGAGGTTGATCTAGCACTCAAGAAATTTTCATGTCCTTCATCAAATCGTGATCTTATATGGATTCCCTGTTAAGCATGTTTCTCTTCAGTGTGATGCTTAAGAGAAAAATTTCATCAGGTTTGTTAGAGTTTCAGGTGTTTCAATTCCCTTGTTCTTCCAAGGCAGTAATAGGTTTAAGGAAAGAACATCATGTAGGCCTGGAGTTAGGGAAGCCAACCAAGCAACGAATGGGGATCAGTCTGGATTATTCCAGTTCATTTATTTGTGGAGGGAGGTGGGGATGAGACATCAGTGATGCTTATTTGTCAGTCTTGGACTTATTCCTATATCCGTTACTGCTTTGACCATGCAATAAGCTTTTAGACTCAAAGGAACTTGTTGGTAGAGGACTTGCTAAGGTAACTGGAGGGCAATGAAGAGTGCTGCCCTATCTGAAGTCATTTCTGGTCTTTCCAGAAAAAATAACTTTCTCAGTATAAACATGTCTAAATAGCTTTCTTCTGCAGTCCAAGTACAGTATTGAAGTAATTTGGCCTTTTTGGACAATAATGTGAATGATTGGAATGTGTGATTTGATTTGGTTTGGGTTTTTTTTCTACCTGAAATAATTGAATGTGTTTTAATCTTATTTTTAGGATGGCCCAGATTCTGAAAGAAGGAACAGGACAAAGCAGGAAAGTGCTTGGCTCTTCAGGCTATGGTATAGCTTTGACCATAAGTATCCTTTTGAAAGCACAGCTTAGCTTCAAGGCATGAAATGCTCACTTTTTCTTTTCCACACCCCCGTATGTAGCCTTAAGCACTTGAGAGAGTCAAACTGGAGAAAGATCAAGTATTTGACAAGTTCAAGGCACAGAACTGAAGCTTGAACTCACTGACTCGGAAGTTGGACCTTTCCTTTCTCTAACACATGGTACGTCACACTTGCTGGAGGACAGAAGCCAGTCAGTTCTAGGACCTGAAGTTCCATCCTAAACAGTAACACAGCCAATCAACTATTTCAGCTCCTCTGATTCGTTCTGTTAATCTGTTCTCCTCTTCACTGATACTCATAGCACTAACTTGTTTTCCAGTTCACTGTACATGCCTAAGCCCCGATTCATTGCTTGGAAAGGCCACTTGTGGTGGGGAAACCCATCGCTGATACAGGAAGCTCTGAAACTAAAAATCTGCCTAGGATCCAGCTTATCCCCTTGAGTATATCTGGAACTTCCTATGGGTGTTAAAGCAAAGTGTACCTGTGTGTGTATACAGTATTGTAAACCTTTCTGAAGCTGCTATTATACAGTTTAGATAGCCTTGTTTAAGCTTCTGAACAATTTTCGTGTAGCTGTCCTGTCTTTCATGCTTGTGGGTTTTTGTTTTTTTTTTTAATCTACTTAACATGTTCGTAATCAGCATATCATATAGGTGCCCCTCCTTAACAGCTTATACTCAGTAGAAAATAGCAAAGACAATCTTGTGGCCAGGGCAGGTCACTTATACCCAGAAGTTCAATGAAGTTTAAGTTATTGATTCCTAGTAATTTCTGGGGCACTTAAATACCTGAGACAGAGCCTTTGTCTTGTTGCACCTTGCATCTGAGAAGTGAGTCTTTTCACTGGGGTCTTGGCCATTGCTGATAAGAGATTGCTGGCCTGTTGGAGGACAGTAGTTTCCTTTCATGCCTTGTGCATCAAGATTTCCCACCCAGGGAAACCCAGATGGAGTGCTGAAAGCATTTGGATCCTAATGGCACTTGCCTGTTCAGGATAAAATGTTTGTGACTAATGCTTTCAGATGCAGTAGTATTGGACCAAAGCCCAGAAGGGAGTGTATGTGCTAGCTTAAATATTCATAAATGTTAGTAATTCCAAGTTAACCCTGTGAGCTGAGTGGTGGTGTCAAAGTGTATTGAGGTCAATTTTTGCTGACCCTGTCAAAGAAGAAGTCAAAAAGAAGACCTCTGTGGTAAAATCAGAGAAGGATCTGGCTCTGGCTAACTGCTTCTTTTTGTCTTTTTAAGAAGGAAGCAGAGCTATCCTCTTCCCCTGCCTTTATGAAAGGGATGTGCCCAATGAATAAAAGGAGTAGTTGGCAATGCTGACTTCCCTCAGCTGATGCTAGCACAAACACAGTCCTCAGCAGCTGCAGCAAGGGGAGGGGGAAGCACTAGGTGAAAATTACAGCTTAATTAGCTGTTTCACGGAAACTTAAAGGACACTGATAGTGCATTTGTTTTTCAGTGGTGACTAGCAATCTTTAGGCAAGGTTTCTGTGAAGCTTGTGCAAAGGAAGCTGACATCCAGAGGCAGAACTGTCTTACTGTATCTTAGAGGTAAAAGCTTGCTACTTCCGTTGCAAGGAGGCATTCAGATAAACATCGGCTGGGTGGGTTTAAATTGCATGGAAGGGATGATCTTTAGAATTGTCGCCTCTATACCCACAGGAAAAATATTTTTTGCTGATGCATTCACTTGGTTTGTGGGTAGAAAAGCAGATTGTCTCAAAATTCACTCTCTGCAAGGCAACTTAACATGAAAAAGATGTATGTAAGTAAGCTGCATGTGGCAGTGCACTCCAACACTGGCTGTCGCCTGCAGAGCTCTGTCTGGATGGATAACTGGGAACTTCATTCCTGTGGAATGCAGAGTTCATTTATTGTCATGGGCTGTTCCCACCATTCACCCACAACTGTTAAACAGGAAGAAAACTGCAACTTTGATGAAGTACCAGATATCTTATACTGGGTTTGTTTTATTATGACCAAATGGCTGCATGCCTGTCTACCACAAAGCAATGTGGAGGCTGGTAGGTTAGTATAAGGGCAAAAAGAGCTTCTTTCTTTCCCGGACTGGGTGCAGCCCAGTGTTACTGGAGAAGGGAAGGAGGGAACAACTCTGCAGCAGCATAGTCATGCTGTTATATGCTCAAGTAAACACGCTATGCTAGGCTCTGCTAAAAGGGAGGGATACATCTCTGTAAAACAGTCCATTATTAAACCCACGCTTTCCCCTAAGCACCTCTATCTGTGGGGTGATCAGGGAAATTGTTTTATTCACAAGTGGACTTGATTCTTAGAACTCTAAGCACAGAGAGAAAGTTATTACCTGCAATATATTTACATTTAAAATAATCAGAACAACTTAAAGAACAAAAAAAAACCAAAACCCAAAACCCCACATCAACCCAAACCCTTGTGGTCCTGATTTCAAACAACATTTGGAAGTCTTAACACTCTCCTGAGCTCTGTTCCTGTGCCAGTCCAGATCAGCATATGCTGCTCTGTAGCAGGGACACCTTTTTTGACTCCTGAGGTAGATTGTCCATCTGGAGTACAAGCGTGAACACATAAGGATTTACCTGAGGGCAGACATGTGAAAAGAGGTGCAAAGACACCTTCCTTTCCCACCCTGGTGCCCCCTCAATGTAAGCTAGGTAGCATTGCTTTTCTTCTATGCTGCGTTACATGGTTCTTTCCATACTGTTTTCCCTTTTTAAGGCTCTGTGTGGTATGTGCATGTGCACTGCAGAGACATCTTTGAGCCTTACCAGAGTAAGATCTCTGGTTGCATCTCTGTGGTTTGGTGACCAGCTAGTAGCTCAAGTGGCTGCTTTGCTTTGAAAACATTGGATGGACAGTATTTCTTTATTTCCTGTGTTGAGCCACATATGTGTGTCACCTTGTTACCTCTAGCTCACAACCTCAACACCATGCTCCCGCCTTCACAGCAGAAATACCTTTAGACCTATTAGCATTAAAGCACTTGTGCCTTTGCTTGCTCCTTTTAGCTCTAGAAAGCCCAAAAGCTGGAAACATTGCAACTGCTTGAAACTTTCAAGAGAGTTAGCTAGTTTCCCCTGCAGGGAGTGTAAGAGTAACAAAACTGTCCTTGAAAAGAGAAAGGGAAAATGTTTTTTTGGGGAGATGTTTTTCATTTATTTGTCTACAAATGCAGATTTTTTCAATGGTTGTTTCATATGCAATTATTGAACTGCACATAGGTCAAAGGCAGAACTGCATTTATGTACAATTGTCTTCTGATTTTTCAATAGTGGTTTTCGAGCACTGGTGTGTTTTCCTTAACTACTTCAGTTATTTAAAGCCAATTCTCACTCACAGTGGCCCTCCATTAACCACAACTCTACCCAGCTGGTGTGGTCTGGTCGCCCGCTGTCTGACAAGTCCCCAGGTTTATGATGTAAGTAGAACAACTCAATACTTCTGGTTTTTTCCTTTTTATTTATTTAACTTCAACAAAACATTTGTGGTTTAATTTTTTAGGCAAAAGGTTGGTGATAGATACACACTACAAAAAAGTGCTGGTTTGTCCTAGGCAGAAAAGGTTTAAGATACTTTCCCTTGAGGCAACAGCTTCTGTTAGAAATAAGAGATGATCTTATTTTTCAAATACTAAACTAAAAAAAAGACTGGTAAATCACAGGCCTAGTCAAGAAATCAATTCAGTGAATCACTTCAAAATATTCAATCCCTTCTCAACACTTTTGGACAAGATTCTTTTCCTGTTACTGCTAAGGTTGCATTGAGGTCTCCTTCAGAAAAGACAGGCATGTTTACCCATGCTGGAAAAAAATCTGGTAGCTCTTCCTTTCATTGTTTCCACTGTGAAATTTGAGATTGTGTTTCAGAAACAGTTCACCAGTTGCTTATCTCAGTGTAGCAGGTGCTATACTGTCTTTACAGCCATGTCTTGCAATAATTAATGCTTCATTCTCGTATTACTCTTGCAGGATCCTGATACATGCTATTCCTATCTGCACAGGGCTTCTGAAATCTACTGCTCTATACAAGCTGCCTATAAATAAAAACATTGCATTATGTGGAATCACTCAAATCTACAGGGTCTTTGGAATGGTAACATCTCTACCATGTTCAAGTAGTCTTGGACCAGATTTCTATTAATCTTTTCCTAGACCGTTATGAATTCCAATTCCAGCTTTAAAATATTACCCCTGCATTTCTTTCTGGTGTAATTAGCACCTTGCTTTCACCTGATAGTAAAATGTCAAAGAAATTTGAAGTACCAGCTGCCTATTTGGAGCTACTGGTAATGCAAGAAATTGGCCTTGTTCCAATCTTCGCAATGCCAGTAAAGATCTTACAGCAGATCTAGGTTGGAAGGCATCCATCAGACCAATTAGCCTACTTGTGTGTTGCCCTTGAATCTATCTACGATCTTATAAGATTAGTTATCTAGTAACTGAGGATCTAAACAGAATGAACATGCAAGCTTTGGCTTTCATTTTCTTTAACAGTTGGGCTTTTTTTTTGCCCTCTTTACTCCTGATTCTTAGCTACTACTGTATGTGGAAACGTATTGTTTAATTGGATTTGTTCTGACACACACAAACTGGGATGTTAACTGCATCATTAAAAATGCTTGTAAGGCTGCATACTTTGTTAAGGTGTATGATGTGGAACTTTTCACTGTCTTCTTGTTCTTATTTCATTGCATTGCTGCATTAGAATCATAGAATCACAGAATAGTTAG